AAAAAAACTTTCCATGTGCTTAAAGAAGAGCGTTCCTGTATACTGGGGCCTTATGCAGGTCGTGAGCCTCAGCCAAGAGACAATGAAAGAAGAAAGGTTAACAAGGGGGATGAGAGGTAAAGTGACACAGCAGGTGTGTGGAAGCATCCTAGGATAAATATAAATACATAAACAGATGTTTTTATTTAGCACGTGGCCCTCAGATGTCGGCGTCCTTTTATCACGCTTATCAGAAGCCAGTGTAGAAAAGGGCAGCTGTATAAAAAGCTGTGAAGGTGACATCCTTGTGGCTAAGATCAAACAGAGTAACAATTTATTTTAGGGGCTCTTAATAACTAGCTTCTCTCATTAAGCATGGCCATTTATTCAGTAAACCTTTCCCCATGAGAGACAATATGCCTATAGAATCATAGAATACTAGAACTGGAAGGGACCTCGAGAGATCATCAAGTCCAGTCCCCTGCCCTCACAGCAGGACCAAGCACCGTCTAGACCATCCCTGATAGATGTCTATCCAACCTGTTCTCCCATGATGGAGATTCCACAATCTCTCTCTAGGCAATTTATTCCAGTATTTAACCACCCTGAAACAAAGTTTTTCCTGATGTCCGACCTAAACCTCCCTTGCTAAAGTTTAAGCCCGCTGCTTCTTGTCCTATCATCAGAGGCCACGGAAAACAATTTCTCCCCTCTGACCCTCCCCCCCTTTCTCTGACAGTCTTTTAGATACGGGCAGTCCCCGAGTTACGCGGATCCGACTTACGTCGCATCCGCAGTTACGAACGGGGCCTTTCTCGCCCCCGAGGACGGCAGGTAAATGTTGCATTTTATTAATATCAGCAGAAGTGACTTAAATGGGGTCTGTGTGTTGTGTAGTCTTGCCTTAATCTTTGTATTCATGCCTATCAGTGTGAGAGAAGCTATTTGTATATATTTGCTTGCATATGCAACCACACTTAAGTTGAGGCCCTCAGCATGTTCTGTAAATATCAGTGTGGCCCCTAGGGCTTCCAAAGTTGAGTTGCCCTAGCTCATCCCTGACAGGTGTCTGGTCTAACCTAGTCTTAAATATCTGCAATTTAAGCCCATTGCTTCTCATCCTAACCTCAGAGGCCAAGCAGAACAATTTTTCTTCCTCCTCCTTATGATACTTTAAAGCTGCTCTCATGTCCCTTTTCGGTCTTCTCTTTTCTAAGGTAAACAAACCAAACTCCTTCAGCCTTCCCTCATATCTCATGGATAGCAAATGGAAGCTCCAGTTTTCTGTCTGTTTATTCACGTGCAAATAAGAATAATATTCTTGACCACCTGAAAGATTATTTACTGCTTGAAGAATTTTTGTATTTATAATCTGACATTGATAAAATCTCTGGAAGAAATATATATATTTTAACAAGTGACTAGAATAGAAAACTTAGCCCTTAGCTATAGTAATGATGAATCCTTGATAACAGGGAGCAATATCAATTAAAAATTTTACGTAGCTGACATCACGTTCCAACAAATAATCTTTGCCTGGTATATACATGGAAATCAAAAGCCCATTGATTTTCAAAGGGAAAGGAGAGTATGCAAGAAGGAGTAAATCGTCTGTATGCGTGAAAGAGATTGTTCCTTCCTAAGTGGAGTACTTTGCATTTGTCCTTACTAAACTTCATCTTATTTACCTCAGACCATTTCTCCAGTTTGTCTAGATAATATTGAATTATGACCCTATCTTCCAAAGCACTTGCAACCCGTCCCAGCTTGGTATCATCTGAAAACTTAATAAGTGTACTCTCTATGCCATCATCTAAATTGTTGATGAAAATATTGAACAGAACTGGTCCCAAAACAGACTCCTGCAGAACCGCACTTGTTATGCCCTTCCAGCAAGACTGTGAACTGTTAATATCTTCTCTTGGAGAATGGTTAATGATTATATTTTGCTGCCTTGGCTTTCTTACTTTCAACACATTAAATGCTCAGGATCAAGTATTACTATAACTTTCTTTTTTGTTTAAAAAACTGATTGAAGAGTTCACAGATTGAAGTAGATCCTACTAAGAGAAAACAAAATAAATGCTAATGCAAGACCAGAGGGAATCCCACATAGAATTTGAACCTGCAACTATCTGTACAAAACTCCCATCTATTAGTAAAATGACTGTGCTGCAAATAGTAAAATTAACTCAGTTAAAAAAGAAACAAAGCATTTTCAGATGTCACGTAAGCCAACAGAAGGTGCTTTTGCAATCCCAAGAACTAGCAGAGGACTAAAACTGACAAAAATCTCATTAATGATTTCACTGTACATATGGACTATACATATACAGAGACTGTGTGATGCTTCAGGACTGTATAATTAATACAACATAATTGTAGCATTGGAAGTATACAAAGACACAAGCTGCTTTTAAGGTTGATGCCAGAGTGGAACAAAGGTGTCTGATAACATCAAAGACTGTATGTGGTGAGACATCAATGCCATGAGTGCCATTCTAGCTACACAAGATCATCAAAGAACAACAATCAATCTCCTTTTTCTTTATGAGAAAGAAATGTCCTGCCCTTCCCTTATGAGGTTTAGGAAACACTGGGCAGCTTGATTGCCTATAGGATCTCAAAAAAGACATGGCAAGGATCAATCATTACGTCATACCAGCTTAGAGGAAAGTAGAAGGGCTATAAAACCTGAGTTCTTAATCTGGCTCTGCCACTGATGCACTCTGTGGTATTGCCAAGTCCCTTTGCTTCACCGTGCCTCAGTTTCCCCACTTTAAAAATGGCCCAATACATCTAGTGTTGCTAACTCTCATGACATATTGTTTTACATAAAGCCCCAAATCTCAGAGGCATGTGCACGGGTGAGAATCTCTTTTCTTTTCTTTTCTTTTCTTTTCTTTTCTTTTCTTTGTCCTTCTGGTTGCAGGGACGAGCCTGGAATCACAATTTGACCCAAGGGCACCTAAAGGCTCAGGAGGAAAAGAAAAGATCCTCACATTTGTAGATTTAAAAAAAAAAATCACATTACTCAGAGACCCGACTCATGAATTTCAAATCCTTGGAGCTAGTGATACTATAGTACTGACCCAGCCGTTGGGGCTGTGTGAGGATTGATTCGTGGATGTCTGTGCAGTGCTCTGAATGTGTGGTATTATTAGGGATTCCAAAATGAATCTTTGGGGGTTGAGATAGGCCTTTAAAATGAAACAACATAGTCTTGGCAACTGAGGTCAAATGTGCAAGTTCGTATACTCATAGTTCTGCCAGGTGTCCCTAGGCAAGTCCCTTTACTCTCTGTGCCTCAGTTCCCTACCTGAAAAATTGGGATAACTATCCTGTCCTCCTTTGTAAAGCACTCTGAGATCTATTGATGGAAAGGACCTTAAGGGCAAATTATTATCTTTAGCATATCAGAGACTCTGCCACTGAGTGGTCCTGGTCAAATTAACTTATTCACCACCTTACCTCGTATAGAGTTGTTAACTTTTCCCTGCTTCACCAGGCATACATGCTGCTGAGTTATTGCCTGTATTGAGTGCTAATTTTGATTGTTATCTCTAGCTCCTCACCACAGCCTAGGAATTATTACTGTTTAAGCAAGCTGACACTAATTTAACCGTATGCTCCTATATTAAAACCAACCTGAATGCCAGTTATTCAAACACTCTAAGTATGCCTAAATAATAAGCAAATTGACTACATCCAAACAGTAATAAACCACTTCTAAGCATCTGTCAAGGCTGTTCCCCATTCTGGCACTTCAAGTGCAGAAGGCGAGAATTCACAAGAGACCTTAAAATACCTTGTGTCTATGGAGAGGTGAATAAAGAAAAGTTATTTATTAGTTCCCATAATATAAGAACTAGAGGACACCAAATGAAATTAATGGGTAGCAGGTTTAAAACTAACAAAAGCAAGTTCTTCTTCACGCAGCGCACAGTCAACCTGTTTAACTCCTTGCCAGAGGAGGCTGTGAAGGCTAGGACTATAACAGAGTTTAAAAAAGAGCTAGATACATTCATGTAGGTTAGGTGCATAAAAGGATATTAGCCAGGGGGTAAGGAATGGTGCCCCTGGCCTCTGTTTGTCAGAGGCTGGAGAGAGATGGCAGGAGACAATTTGCTTGATCATTGTCTTCGGTCCACTCCTTCTGGGGCACCTGGTACTGGCCACAGTCAGAAGACAGGATACTGGGCTAGATGGACCCAGTATGGCCTCACCCAGTATGGCCGTTCTTATGTTCATATGTTCTTACCTGGTACCCAATCAACTGTGTTTTCTTTCTATTGTTTCAGCTCAACCTTAAACAAGTGAACACTAACATTTCAAAGGGTTTCTCATGATCTCGTTCTTTCTGAACACATGCTTTGGGGCTATTTGCTCATGGTATATCCAAACTTGATTGAAATCAATAGTTCACCCAGATCTAAACGGGTCCTAAATTCCCACACCAAAGTCTTTCTCGTCACCTTAATGCCTGCTGGGCAACTGTTCAAGATAAGGTTGCCAATTCTCTAGCACTGTCCTGGAGTCTCCAGGATTTAAAGATTAATCTTGACTTAAAGATCATGTCGTGGGATAAAACCTCCAAGAATAAGTCCATCCAAAACTGGTAATCCCAGCTGAAGGGAGGGGTCTGCATGGAGAAGGGGTGATGTGAGTAGATGGATATATCATCTCTCAGGGCTCTATGTGAGGTGAACAGGGTGGCTGAGTCTAGACTGGCAAGTTTTTCCGCAGCTGCTTTTGCAGAAAAACTTGCCAGCTATCTACACTGGCCACTTGAATTTCCGCAAGAACACTGACTTCCTACTGTCTTAAGTTTTTTTGCGCAAAAAATCCCCAATCGCGAAAATGGCAATCGGGGCTTTTTTGTGGAAAAGCGCATCTAGATTGGCACGGACGCTTTTCTGCAAAAAGTGCTTTTGTGGAAAAGCGTCTGTGCCAATCTAGACGCTCTTTTCCACAAATGCTTTTAACGGAAAATTTTTCCATTTGTGGAAAATCATGCCAGTCTAGACGTAGCCGGTGTGTTTAACAAGCCATAGTGTTGTAACTCATAGAGGAGGAGAGAAGGAATCACTGCTCAGGTTGGGGATCTACTCAGCACGGAGAGGCAGGGAGCTTAGATTTAGACCAGCTCACATCACACAGCTTCCGAGCAAGACACAAACGCAACTTGCAAGCTCATAAAAAGTCCGAGTATCACTTTCAAGAGCACCTTTGTGACTTAGCAACAGTGACTCAGGCACCTAAGTCACAGAGGTGCCTCTGACAAGGTTACCCACTCTCTCCACTGACAACCAGGCACACCCATCCCTACCCACCACAACAAAAACATCTTCCCTTCTGGAGAAACCAAGCGACAGCATGGGAGTGGAATTCCAGAGTTCAGAATCCCCTGAGAGCAATCCGCCTCCAGATCTACAGGCTACAGGCAAAAGCATCTTGGCTGGCTTCAAACACAGCGACAGAACTTGGGGGCAAAGGGGAATAAAGTGGAAAAGGCAGGTAAGAATTGCCCTGGGCACCTTCCCAACAACAGACAAGTTTCTGGCATCACTCCAGGTGCTAGTGTTGGTCTGTGAAGAAGCCATGGCTGATCTGGACTGCTGAGATCCAGAACCAGCATGCCCCTGGTTCCAGGAAATCAGGGTATATACACTGTGCCTGGCTTGGAAGGAAGCACGTGGGCAGAGTGCTGACAGATCTCCACGCTGCACTCTCGCAGACACCAGCTGCAATATCTACTGTGCCTTTCTGCACCAAGCAGCAGAATGAAAGCAGCTCACAGCATACTCTCTGGCAGGGGTAGGGAACTTTTTTAGGCTGACCCCAAAATCAGTCAGGGACCGCACACAGTGAGAAGCAAGCAAACAAAAAAAAAAAAACAACCCACCTCACTGATGTGGCCCCTGACTGAGAAGGAGAAAGACACTCCTCACATTCTCCTTGCACACCAGAGTCTAGAGGGGGCCAGGCTTGTAGATTTTGTGAGCTCCGTGGGAGAATGGCAGGGGGCTGGTATGCCGTGCAGGGTCCCCAATGCCCTGAGCCATGAGGGCCAGATCCAGGCAAGGCAGTGGCTGAAACCAGCCCCCGGGCCTTAGGTTCCCCACCCCACTCTACAGCTAACCAGGACCTTCCTGTGTCTTGTAGGCATTTTTATTCCCACGCATGGATCAAGGAAACTAGAGAGAAAATGTTGGCTCATTTGACATAACTGCCAGGCCGCTCCCTCCAGGAGACCTCCAGTCAGTCACTTGAATGCCTTTTGCCTCAGTCAGCCCGACTGGAGAAGCCAATAGAAAGAAGGGGCTTCTCTGAAATCTGGATGTTGCTGCCTCGGAGCTGAGCTTTCCTGAAGGAGCACATTAAAACGATCAGAGGACACTTGTCCCACAGCTTTTTTACATGTAGGCCCTACGGCCATTTTTATTTTAAATCTGCCAACAACACTGATGTCAGGAAAACCAGCCCCATGGGTATTTGCTAAGACACAAGCTTGATTTTGCTGTCTTGAGTTAATGGCTGCCAGGGATGCAGGCTCGGGTCCGGAGCCTGCACTGTGGAACGCAAACAGAAAAAAATAGGTTCAATGGGGCAGATCCTCAACCCTCTCCTCCCCCCCCCCCTTGCAGCTGCCTGCCATGGCATAGGGGACACATCGTGGGTGGGTGAGGGGCAAGACTGGGTGTGTGGTGGGAGGGGCCTGCACTCCTGTGATTCCTGCCTGATGGCAAGATCTCAATGGGGACTGTTGCTGTCAGCCCCAGGATCAGTGAATAGGTGGCTTAGAGGCATCTTCTTTCCCCACAGCTCCTCACCCCAGGTTTTGAGTCCAGAGTCTGGCCCAATGTATAATTTTTTCAGCTTGGATGGGAGTGCTGCCCCATGGCTAAAGAGAGGAAGGCAGGCACTGGGTCTACTAGATCCTACTCCTGGCCCAATCACTGACTCTTAACAGATGTTTTTTATTTCTTTGGTTTGAAGGGAAAATAAAAAAAAATCCCCCTAAACATCCTGATTGGAAAATGTTTAAATTCTTAGTTGTTGAGAGTGGTCCTAAAGAGATCATTCAATGGCAGAAAATGGATGTGGGCACGTGTGTATGGTGGGGGGAGGAACTTCATGCACGTGTGCTTGTGTAGCACTGGAATTGGAATTTTGTAACTAAGAAGTCAGTTATATTAAATGTATATTATAGCAAAAGTTTGGATTAAACTTAATACAAGATGTAGGCCTCACACAGGCCAGGAAGCTTTGCTAACTTAGCTCCAGCTCTGTGTGATGTTAGCATGTTAAAGTGAAGGGATGGAATATTGTATTACTGGAACAGTGTGACGCTGTTGCAAAAAAAGCCAACATGATTCTAGGATGCATTAACAGGTGTGTTGTGAGCAAGACACGAGAAGTCATTCTTCTGCTCTACTCTGCACTGATTAGGCCTCAGTTGGAGTATTGTGTCCAGGTCTGGGTGCCACATTTCAAGAAAGATGTGGAGAAATTGGAGAAGGTTCAGAGAAGAGCAACAAGAATGATTAAAGTTCTAGAGAACATGAACTATGAAGGAAGACTGAAAGAATTGGGCTTGTTTAGTTTGGAAAAGAGAAGATTAAGAGGGGACATGATAGCGGTTTTCAGGTGTATAAAAAGGATTCACAAGGAGGAGGGAGAAATCTTGTTCTTCCTCGCCTCTGAGGATAGAACAAGGAGCAATGGACTTAAATTGCAGCAAAGGAGGTTTAGGTTGGACATTAGGAAAAAGTTCCTAACTGTCAGGGTGGTTAAACACCGGAATAAATTGCCTAGGGTGGTTGTGGAATCTCCATCTCTGGAGATATTTAAGAGTAAGTTAGATAAATGTCTATCAGGGATGGTCTAGACAGTACTGGGTCCTGCCATGAGGGCAGAGGACTGGATTTGATGACCTCTCGAGGTCCCTTCCAGTCCTAGTATTCTATGATTCTATGATTAATATATTGTGACGTTACTATTAGATAAGGCCTTGCAGTAGATAGAAAGAAGTTTAATGTTGAAAGACTTTGTAACTTTGTTAAAGTGATTTAGAAGTACCCCTTTGTTCTGTGTGGCAATTCTGTAAATATATAGTTTGTGTGAATGAGAGAGAGAAAGTTTTAGGAGAGATAAGGGTGAAGGCCACTGCATGCTCAAATGGTCAGAGGAGGGGCTGGAGACTCAGAAGTACCAAATAATTATCAACTAAGGGTATGTCTACACTACCCCGCTAGTTCGAACTAGCGGGGTAATGTAGACATATCGCACTTGCAAATGATATGCAAGGGGATTTGAATTTCCCGGGCTTCATTTGCATAAACTGGGCACCGCCATTTTTAAATCCCTGCTCGTTCGAACCCCGTGCCGCGCGGCTACACGCGGCACAAACTAGGTAGTTCGGACTAGGCTTCCTAGTCCGAACTACCATTACTCCTCATTCCACTGAAAATGTGGAAATGGTAGAGATATTTAATGTCTTCTTTGTTTTGGTTTTCACAAAGAAGGTTGGCGGTGATTGGATGTCTCACATAGCAAATGCCAGTGAAAATGAATTAGAATCAGAGGCTAAAACAAGGAAAGAACAAGTTAAAAATTGCTTAGACAAATTAGACATCTTCAGGTCATTGGGCCTGATGAAATACATTCTAGAATACTCAAGGAGATGACTGAGGAGATATCTGAGCCATTGATGATTATCTTTGAAAAGTCATGGAAGACTGGGAGAGATTACAGAAGACTGGAAAAGGGCAAATATAGTGCCCATCTATAAAAAGGGAAATAAAGACAACCTGAGGAATTACAAATTAGTCAGCTTAATTTCTGTACCTGGAAAGATAACGGAGGAAATAATAAAGCAATCAATTTGCAAACATCTATAAGATGATAAGGTGATAAATAACAGTCAGTAGGGATTTGTCAAGAACAAATCATGTCAAGCCAACCTAATAGTCTTCTTTGACAGAATAACAAATCTTTTGGATGGGGGTAAGCAGTAGACATGATATATCTTGACTGTAGTAAATCTTTTAATACTGTCTCCAATGACCTTCTCAAACAAATTAGGGAAATGCAACCTATGTGGATCTACTATAAGGTTGGTGCAAAACTATTTGGAAAATCCTTACGCAGGAGCAGTTATAAATGGTTCACAGTCACACTGGAAGGGCATAATGAGTGGAGTTCTGCAGGGATCAGTTCTGCGACCGGTCCTGTTCAGTATCTTCAATGATTTAGACAATGGCATAGGAAGTATGCTTATAAAGTTTGTGGATGATACCAAGCTGGGAGGGGTTGCAAGCGCTTTGGAGGATACAATTTTAATATAAAATGAGCTGGACAAACTGGAGAAATGTCTGAAATTAAGAACAGGATGAAATTCAAGAAGGACAAATGTGAAGTACCCCACTTAGGAAGGAACAATCAGTAGCACACATACAAAATAGAAAGTGACTAGTTGGGAAGGGATCAGGGGGGTCATAATGGACTATAAGTTGTGAATCAGCAATGTAACACTGTTGCAAAAAAGCAGACATAATTCTGGGATGTATTAATAGGAATTTCGCAAGCAAGACTCAAGAAGTAATTCTTCCACTCTACTCTGCAGAGAGCAGACCTCAACTGGAGTATTGTGTCTAGCTAGTTCTGGCATCACATTTCAGGAAAGATGTGGATAAAATAGAGCCAGTCCAGAGAAGAGCAACAAAAAAGATTAATGGTCTAGAAAACAACATGACCTATGAGATAAGACTGAAAACAAATGGGTTTGTTTACTCTAGAAAAAAGACTGAGGGGGGACATGACAACAGTTTTCAAGTACATAAAAAGTTGCTACATGGAGGAGGGAGAAAAATTGGTCTTTTTAATACCTGAGGACAGGACAAAAACCAATGGGCTTAAATTGAAGCATGGGAGGTTTAGGTTGGACATCAGGAAAAACTTCCTGTCAGGGTAGCACTGGACTAAATTTCCGGAGAGGTTGTGAAATCTCCATCACTGGAGATTTTTAAGAGCTGGTTAGACAAACACCCGTCAGGAATGGAATAGCTAATACTTAGTCTTGTCCTGCGTGCAGAGGACTGGACTAGATGACCTCTTGAGGTCTCTTCTAGTCCCATGATTCTAACTCCCAGTAGGCTCAAATGGAGATAGGGCTGTTCAGCCATTTGCTGGGCTGGGCCATTGGGATAAGGGGCAGATCTCATAGTTGAGTAGAAAACCATTTGTTCCTTGCTGGATGACAAACTGCCTGTTTGAGCGGGTTATTATTGAAGGCCTGGAGGAAGGGATTGGTCCTGCTTTGGCCAGGGGGCTGGACTCGATGACCTCCTGAGGTCTCTTCCAGCCCTAGGAGTCTATGATTCCATGAAAGTGTGTCTTCTGAGGGGAGAGCTGAATGAGGTGCAGCTAGTTATTTGGTGCACCTGGCCTCACTCCTGGAGACCTGGCTGCTGCCCCACACTGTGGGCTTTTATATTGAAGAGCCCACAGCGCGCCACAGTAGCCTGTTTGGTGCACCTGGCCTCACTCCTGGGGACCTGGCTGCCGCCCCACACTGTGGGCTTTTATAGTGAAGAGCCCACAGCGCGCCACAGTAGCTGGCTTCCTGGGGGCTGAGGAGGCACCCCTCACCATCCTTCCCTCCTTAGTCCCACCCAGCTGCAGACCCCCCAAAACCGCTTACCCATGTAATGGCTGGGATTTTTAAGGGTTACCCAGTTACTGGTTTTAAACCGACTTATCATCCACAACTGAATTGCTTAACAAGGACTCACTTTGTCCTTGCGGCCCAGATAAAGGACTGCCCAGCACTTGGAGCTCCCACAGGATAACTTTGTGCTGACTGGCTCACATGACAATGTGTTCTGTTCATGGTCACTCAGCAACAAACGATTTGCTGCCTCGGGCACTAAGTTTACCGAGGGAGGAAACTTCTCCTGGGAAGGAACTTAGTGAAACTTTCCCAATAAAGGCCAGGCAAACTAGCTGTGGACAAATTGGAGGAGAGTGGGGGCTAAAAGCCAGTGCATACTAGCAGGGATGCACTTTGCAGGTACACTGCTGGAATCTGAGTTTCTTCTGCACCGCATGGCAACAGCATTAGCTTTTGAGCCTGACCTCAGCGTGATACATGCTTTTTGCCAGTAGGGACTAGCACTCAAGTCAAGTAATTTCGGGGCATTCCCTAACTCTAGAGTCTGCCACAAGCATCTCAGTACTTTAACCATCTCTCTTTCTCATGCTCTCTCTCTCACTTCCCTGACCTCTCCATTTTCTTCCCGCTTCCTCCTATCTTCAGATGGCTTAATCATCCTCTGGCAGTTTAGAAGACCAGCTCCTGAGCCCAGATCCTCAACTGGTGTAAATCAGTACAGTGCCTTTGATTTCAGCAGAGCTACTCTGAGATGCACTAGCTCAGTGTTTCTCAACCTTTTTTTAATAAAGTATCCCTTTTCCCCCCCAAAGAAATAATTATAAGTACCCCTTTTTAAAAAAATTATAAGTAACCCCAGTACCTACAGTTTTCAGACACACAAAAAATTTTTCTACTATTGCAACACATTTGTTTAAACAACTTAATCGTAGCAGGGCAGGCAATAACATTTTTGGGTGCAAAAAGTACAAAAATAAGAAAGTGCTGTAAAACTTAAAACAAAAATTCAGTTTCCTCCAAATTTCAGTTGTGTTGATGTACCCCCCAGACTCCTCTCAAGTACCCCTTAGGATACTCATACCACTGCTTGAAATAGTCCTTGCACTATGCAGGGATTCCTGGAAGGCATGGGGCAGAAATCTGGTTTGATCATTTCTTGTAGTCAAACCCTCTCTAGTCATAATGCACCCCATTCCTCTAGAAACACAACATGCCAGTTCAGCATATGCATGAAGTTCCCCTTGTTTCATGTCTTTCTGGTCCTACAGGATGCAGCTCCTGATATTTCTCCAAACCCATTGGTAGAACCCTGCATGGATACAAAATTTTGTATCCCCATCCACATCTGCATCTGCAGAAGTGAGCTGTGGATAGTAGGGAAGTTAGAGTATAACCAATTAAGCGATAAGCTGCTGCTTATTGGTTACACTCTGACGGCTCTTGGGGAGGCGACTTCGCTGCGACAGGGCAGCCACCTTCCCGGGAGCTGGGCTGGTAGGGGCTGGCAGCCCTGCTCCGGGAGAGGCTTTGTTGTGGGCTTGTGTAAGTGCTGAGATTTTCAGCGGTTACACAGTTACCCTATTACATGATTTTTAATATCCCTAGCAGATACTTGCGGATATAAAGCCGATGTCTGCAGATTTGCAGAGTTCTACCCATTGGGGCACTTTAAATTTGTTTGTTCCCTGGTTACCCAAGAAGAGCCATCATCTTCCCTGATGCTTATTAACTGACATCACACGAGGCCTGTGCCCATGGCACCATTAGTAACACCTCACTTTATTTTTGTTATTTAACATAGAAACCAAGGCTCATAGAAAAAAGAAAAAAACCAAGCAAAAAAAACCCTCATTCTGATTTGTTCTGCTTCCACAGTGCAGCCAGTGAAGCAAAGGGAATGTCAAAGCAATCCTGACAGATGTTTCAAAGTGCCTGCAGCTGTTAATTAATGAGGAGCAATGTTGGGATGGTTCACTTTAATGTTTAGCCTCTATTCTGATGGGGATCAAAGCAGCTCCAGCTATGCGCTTGCATCAAACGAACAGGGGGGAAAAGGACTGAGGTTTTATTATTATTTAACATTTTTAATAGAAAGGGTGTTGCACAAATGAATAACCAACAATGACTGCACCTGGCTATCTGGATCTGATGCCAAGTGCTGCTGGGTTTCATGGACAGAGGTTCAGGGAAAGTGCACAGACTCTAAGAGCTAAACGTTTAGGTCCTCAGCACCCACACGTGGGGCCAAATTCTCAGGAGAGCGCAGCACAAAGAGGTCTCACGTGTCACAGTAGGAACAGCCCGTGGGGAAGATGGACGGATGGTTTGTGCCTGCAAAATGAACTGTAGGTGCCACCAAATCCAAGCCCCTCCTGCCCTTATGGGTGTATTTGCACGGCAACTAGACACATGAGGCTGCTGGCCCTTTCCAGCTCTAGAACCCTGCGAGGTAGGAGGGTCTCAGAGCTTGGACTCCAGCCTGAGCCCAGAAGTTGACACAGCCGTGAAACAGCACCGCAGCCTGAGCCCTGCAAGCCCAAGCTGGCTAGCACAGACCAGCAGAGGCTTTTTCCTTTGCTATGTAGATGTGCCCTCCCCATTGGATTGAGGACTACAGTTGTGACAGTTAAAATCCATTCCTGTGGAGACCCCTATACCATCATTATCAACCATTTGTTCAGCTATGGCGCCTCGAGAGGCTGATCGAGGTCCCTTTGTATGAGGTGCTGCCCCAAAGAGCCTACAGCCTCGTAGCTGCAGACACACACCCCAAGTGAATGAAACAAATAAGCGGGTGAGGGGTTGAGGAAGGGAGGAGATGGACACTGGAATATCAGCGTGATTTCCCATGGAAAGGCTTGCCGACTGCAGGGGCAAAGAGGACAACTCCCCCAGGGCCTGGTGATTCAAAGGTGTCTGGGGCTCTTGGGCATTGTGGCAGCCAGAGCCTTGCTGGAACGCCCTGGGCAGTACAGCACAAAGTTGGGAGGGGAGAGCGCCATGCTCCAGCCAGAGCTCTGAGGGCTGGCTGCCTTGGCCCTGCCATTCCACCTCAGGCACCGCCCCTTCTGGGAGTGTGGTGCTTGGCCCCTCCCTCCCACACCTTACCCAGGAGCCTGCAGAGTCTGTTGTCTCCCCTGCACATGGACCAACTGTGTGCAGAGTCTTTCCCAAATTTACCCTTTAGCCACACAATTAAACTGTAACTATGCTGCAAAAGCCTTATACTGAACTGTATTTCTCTAGCCACCCCCAAAATAATGCCTCTTCTCTTGACCTTGCAGTGCACCCTAGAATGCCTATCTTAGAATCTCTTAGAAAGCCATTCTTCCCTACAGTTAGACAGGGATTTACTAAGTCATCTTCTGGTAAGGGAGTTAACTTGGAAAACGTCCAATATATAATGATGTTTTAAAATGTTCCACTCTCCAGGGTTTGTAGCTTATGCTCTGATGATGAGATATGAACTTTACCCCTCCTATTTGATAAACTATTATGTGCAGCATTTGCTTTCTCCGCAGGTGGCCGCAGCAACACACCGTATTAGGGCTAGAGGTTTTTGGTAACATGAGCCCCGCAGAGCAGCAGAGGGCGCTCACACAGTGTGCTTTCAGTGAGTCCACACCAAAAAAAGGTGGCTAGCCATTTCAAAGTCTTTGTAGCACAATAACAATTTCTTCATTGGGAAAGATATTTAGATTCTGCCAATCCATAAAGAGATTGCGACAAAAGGTACCTACATTTTAAGCATATACCCAAGTTGCCAGTGTCCTTTTAAATACTGATTTCTATCAGAATTTAGAAGGATATCTCCAAGGAGATCTCTGTTGACGTAGAGATGAAATGCGATTCCTGTAAGCAGTTATTTTGCTTGGCGAGCCATCTTGCCCCTTCAATTATTACACAGCCTTAATGTTTTGTTTTTTCAGCAAATCCCCATTCCCAGGGCAACATATGCCATCAACTCGCAATCTCTGGAGATTCAGATGAGCACACAGCATTGTTAGAGGACGACTCACAAAAGGATTGGAACCTTAGATTGGGAGCTGAGCTGACCAGTCAGTCCAGAATTCACTGTGACTACAATTACACTTCACAAAATCCAGAGATGCAGCTCATCTCTGCTGTGATCCCTGAGAAGATCTGAAGTCATGAAGACAGAAAGGCAGCCTGTTGCTTGCATTGGCCAGTTGGATCACAGCATTGGCCAGCAGCTGAAGCAGAATCACTCAGCAAAACTGCGAGAAAACACTCTAGGGTGGGAATTAAAGCAAAAGCAAAACACCCCAATCTGAATAAAATTGCAAAAATAAATTCCTTGGAGATCTGTGTTAAAAATATTCAGATTAAACTGACAGGCTGCAGTTAGCATCAGGAGCTAGTTACTCCCTTTGTCCTAAATATTCTTCCTGATTAGAATGCAAGCAATGGAGATGCTGCTCCTTTTCTGTCATCAGTTCTTATACATTTTAGGGCAAAGTTGTTTATGTTAAACAGTCCTCGGTGCGACTAGTACTAGATGCTAATCCTATAGCAATCTCCACCAGCCTCTATATATTTTACTAAGGCAGTGAACACTCAAGGAGGATTAAGAATGAGCCAGCATTGTCGCAGTATTTTCCTATTTAAATCACAGCAATTCTTTCTCTGTCTCCTAATATTTACATACACTGTGTGTAAAAGCAACCCACAAGAGTCTCAAAAGACCACAAAATTGCCTTTCACCCTGCTAGCAATCTGTGTGTGCATTCTCTTCAAATCTATGGGCTCTGACTGCTGCTTTATTGTAAATCTATTTGCATTTTACAACACTATGGCTCCATTTTATTGTCCTGCCTTGGTTATTATTCATTCTTGTTATTTATAGAGCATCAGCGTGGCAGGTGCACACACACCTTAGCAGTCTTAAAAGACCAACGAATATACAGTCTAATTTAGACAGACACACTGCAAGAGGTAATAAACTAACAAGAATGGGAAGTGGGTTGGGCCCATGAAAGCTCATGATACCACCTACATTTTTTGTTGTATAGTAATAGAGAGGTAGCTGTGTTAGTCTGATCTTGCTAAAACAAAAGGAAAAACTATGTAGCACTTTAAAGACTAACAAGATGGTTTAATAGGTGATGAGCTTTTGTGGACCAGACCCACTTCCTCAGATCATATTCTGGAAGAGAATTGGCATGACCATATATACCAAAGGAATACAATGAAAAAAGTGAACACATTATTAAACTGACAAATCAGATTTAGTACAGAAGGTGGGGTGTGGGAGAGGGAGTGAGAGAATAGCTATTTATGAGCTATTAGCCATTCATTGACTCATAAATAGCTATTCTCTCACTCCCTCTCCCACACCCCACCTTCTGTACTAAATCTGATATGTCAGTTTAATAATGTGTTCACTTTTTTCATTGTATTCCTTTGGTATATATGGTCATGCCAATTCTCTTCCAGAATATGATCTGAGGAAGTGGGTCTGGTCCACAAAAGCTCATCACCTATTAAACCATCTTGTTAGTCTTTAAAGTGCTACATAGTTTTTCCTTTTGTTTTACCTACATTTTTTGTTAGTCTCTAAGGTGCTGCAAGGCTATTCATTGTTGAAGTTTTTCCACTTACTGACTAACATGGCTACCCCTCTGAAACTATTGGAAAGTAGCCTAATGTCAATGTAGTTTAGTGTCCATCATCCACCATAAAAGAAATGAACCAGTGTCTGTCCTGTCTGATGTCCTGCTTTCTGGTACACTAACAGAACATAAGTTTGGTATTTTAGCCCCTGCCACACCTGAAAACCAATAGTCCAGTTAGTCCCCTAACTCGTTTTACAGTGCATCTAAAAGCTTCAGGGGGTAGCCACAAATCAAGTAGGCAACAGAGAGGTGTTGGAATTACTATTCATCCAAAAGTTCAATTCTCATGCTATGGCCTCAATCGAGATGAGGGATGGCTGGGACATTATCAACCTAACATTCAATGAAGGTGCAAATAGCTCTTTGTGTAGAGTCTCGCTATTGCTATCCTTTGATCCTTATCTGCTTCTTTTTAACTATCCAATCTTCAGGTGTTTATAGATTGCAAGTTCTGCCTACAAGCCTGTTGAGGGCCGCACAAAGGAAAACTAATCGCTTTCAGGGCCACCAAAGAAAATGTACTGCTATCGGAAAGTCATAATTATTTATTATTATAGATTATGTTTTAGTTATATTTTATAATTTTTCAGGTCTTGTTTTAATATAATAACAATTTTACACATCAAATTATTGTATTTGCCCATATAAAATATTTTTAATGTAAATATAAATTGAAGATATTTTTAAATGTTTTATATGATACATAACTTGCTTTGTTGAAATAAAAACAAGTATAGACTGTGATTAATCAAATGGAACAGGCTTCTTTGAAAATTTCAGATACAGTAAAACTCCATTAGTCCGGCATCCAATGCTCCGGGACTCCTGATGGTCCGGCACCATCAGGAATCCGGAAGTGCTGGGGCAGCCGGACAGGCTTCCCCCATTGAGCTGCTGCTGAAACTGACCAGCAGCTGAATCGAGGAAGCTGGGGGCAGAGCAGCTGGGTGCTGCCGGGTTGGTCCCACAGCGCTGAGGGGCGGCGCTACGGGACCAACCCGGCAACATCCCAGCTGCTCTGCCCCAGGCGTCCCCAATTCACCTGCTGCTGAAACTGACCAGCCGCGGCTGAATCGGGGACACCCAGGGAAAAGCAGGACTATCAGAAAGGGGGGCTATGAGGGGTCTGGGGTGGCATCCCCCTCCCACCCCCCCACACCAGACCCCTGATAGCCTCCCCTTCTGATAGTCGGGCATATCTGATAATCCAGCACCCCCTGGGTCCTAAAGTTGCCGGATTATCGGAAGTTTACTGTATATTATATTCTACATGGTAGTCACTGCTATAAATTAGCCTCTAGTTTCTCCTTTTACATACATACCAAATTACTAAAAATGATATGGGACAGCATGTGACAATAGTTTTAAAAGTAGTGTGCAATTTTTGCTATACAAGTTAACAACAGTACTAACTCACAGAATTAATACAACTTCTAAGTAACCAGTTTATTTAAAATTCAAAAAATAGTTAGTTTGAAAATGTAAATTAATATTTTACAAGCATGGGAAATAATTGTTTGGGAGGAGAAATTAAAAATAATCTTTTATTATGTAGTTGAGCGGTGATTTTATAAAAATAGGTACTATATTGCGAACTGCGTTTTGAACTGAATTTATTAGCGATAAATAATCTTTTATTTCAGATCAAATTTGGTTTTTTTTCTTAAATTACATTTAAAAGTATTTCACTTTCAGTATACAGTAAAACTCCAATAGTCCGGCATTCAATTGTACGGTACTCCTTACTGTACTTTGTAAGTTTGAGATTTTGCATAAACATATAATATTCATGAAATTGCAAAAAAAATAGCATATTTATTGATATCAAATTAATATACATTTTGTGATTTTATTTGGGAATAAATAAATACAAACCAAAATATTAACAAAATCTCCCTCCTCTCCCCCAGAGCCAGGCACTCCTATAGCCCTGTTCTAACCCAATCCTCCTCCGCGCTTCCAGATCCCCCCCTCTAACCCAATACTTCATCCCTCCCCCAGAGACAGGCATTCCCAGCCCCCTCAATCTAATGCCTGGGTCCCGGAGGCAGAGCCGTCGCTGCTGCCACACATTTCTTCCTCAAGCGCTGTGGCAGCATGAGCACCGCAGCCAGCTGTGACCAGGTGCTTGATGCCTGTGCAGAGCAGCCTGGCCAGCCATGAACACATGCTAAGTGCAGTGCGCAGAGCAGCCGGGCCGGCTGTGAGCAGTCGCTGGGCTGGTGCGCTGAGCGGCCCGGCTGGCCATGAGTAGTCACTGCAGTGCCAGGCACAGAGTAGCTGGTCGGCGCCGACTGTGCTGCACTCGGCCACATGCTCCGAGCGGCCAGTGGACCGCACTTTATTCTTTTATAAAAATGTAGTGGCAGGCTGCAAAAAGTTTTAATCGGGCTACATGCAGCCCCCCAGAGGCCTGTTTGACATGCCTGGCCTACTTGTTTTTCCCTTTGATATTTTCATACCTTCTACTCCTTGTTCCCTGCCCCTCCCCCTTTTTCCCTCCTTCCTGCATCCCCCTTATTTATTTTGGGTGCGACATTATAAACTCAAAACCCCGGTCATCTGAAGAAGTGGGCTGCGCTCACGAAAGCTCATGATACCATCTACATGTTTTGTTAGTCTATAAAGCGCTACCAGACCATTTTGTGTCTAAAGAGACCAGTGTCTTGCTTATCTAGGGGCTCAGACACTTTTGCACTGGAACTTGTCTATTGTTATATCTTCGACTGAAATCAATTCAACAGACTCAAGAGGAAGGTGCAGGCACCAAAATGCTAAATGTGTTATACCCTGAAGCCTGCCCTATCCATGGCTTGAATTCTCTGCCTTTGACATACAACGCAAACATGTCACTAATAGCCAGGGACCTGAATGGAAGATTTCCACATTGCAAACAAACATCCCTTCACTAATTACAGTGAAAAGCAGCTGCCATTTACTCCATGAGAGATAAGTGCACTCAGAAGACAAGTACACTTCCAGGTTTGAATAACATGTTTTTGTACCAAATTAATTCCAATGACATCCCATCCATTTAAAACAATACCGATCTCCAACATCAAATATGTAGTGCTCTTTCATGCCAATTCAGAAACAAAACAGGCCTGATTAAATTGCATTATCTCGTCCACTCCAGTGGGACTGCTCAGGATGTAGGTTAGGGCAGAAGTGTACTATATCGTAAATTTTGCTTCAGTATTACAGGTTGGACCTCCCTGGTCCGGCACCCTCAGGACGTTACCGTCCTGGATGAGGGATTTTGCCAGACCAAAGAAGGTAATTTCTGGACTCCCTGCCACCAGCCCCCCTGCCCAGCCCGCTGGCCTCTCGGCCGGCTCTCACCTCTTGCCAGCCCTGCTGCCCTGCAAAACCCGCTGAGCATGGTCCGACTGGGCAGCCATGCTCTGCAGATCCCGCCAGGCAGCCACACGCTGGGGATCCCGACTCTACTTTGCATACCTGCTGCCACACGCTGGACAGCCCTGCCATCAGCTCTGCTGGCCCCGCAGGGATCCTTGCCCCTGGCTCTCCACCAGGACTCTTTGGTCCTACAGCATCCATGCCAGACCATGGATGTTGCTGGACTGGAGAATTCCGGTTAAGAGAGTTTGAACCTGTATAATGTAGCTTGCCCAGTGGTTAGAGCAGGGGTCTGGGAGCCAGGACAGTTGAGTTCTGTTTCCAGTTCTGCTTTGCTGTGTGACACTGGACAAGCTGTTTCATTTCTACCTCAGTTTGTTCATTGGTAAAATGGAAATAATACCTACTCTCAATACCTCTCTAGTGTGTACCCATTTGGAAGGATGTCACTCATTGTAACCCTGATGTTACCTGCATTCCATGCACATTTGGAGCTCTCCAATTTTCATTTGTGAAAACTCTGTATTAGAAACAAAGACTCACAAAGCCAAAGGCAAGAATCTCACAGCAATTCCAGGTTCCTTCATGAACAGCTTTTCAAAGTCCCTCACCTTGGATTTTTCTCAACAAGTGCGTCCCAGTTATAAGATGAAGGCCTAAACATAACCTCATATAGCGCAGGCCTGGTCTCAGGCCTAAGGCCTACCTAACAATGGACTAGATATGGCTAACATAAAGCAAAGCTAAGCTGTGAGCAAGAGGCAGGCCCCAGCTCACTGAACTTGGCACAAACAGGGCTGAAAGTACAAAACACTAATTGGTAATAGGCCCAGGAGTAGAACAGTAATTGCTACTAGGTGCTGACAGTAAAACAGTAATCGGTACTGGTCATAATTTGAAAGCACATGGCAACACCAGCTGATTAAAAAAGACCTTGGTACCAACACTCCCCACAAACACCAACCCAGGTTCAGGAAAGTGTCTAAAACGACAGCATGATGGATAGAGATGATCTAATCGAAC